TTTACATGGCCTTGTTCCTTGTTCGGAGTGAAAGACGAGGTCAAATATTCCAATCCAATTCAATTAAAAATATTTCCCAAGTCCCTAAGCTTAAACTAGGAAAACGAAATGCGCGCAGCAACGCAAATGTAGTTTGAAGAGCGCAATAGAAAGTGGCTAGATACTGTCGATGGATCTTGGCTTGTATTAGCGAAATAAACTATCATTTTTTCTACTAAAATTGAATTTCTGACATTGTAAGGAGATTCAATGTTACTATGTATGCAAAACTAAACCATGTAGTTATGAAATAATTGTTTTTAACAAAAGGGCGCTCCTGAAGTATTCGTACCAAGATGGCGCACAACCTGAATATTGTATGCTTACCAGGTGGGGGTTCAGGATGTGCGTCATCTTGGACCGAATACTTTAAATCCACTTAAAAAAAATTGCTCAACATTATATACTCCACACCCACCTGGGTATCATTATATATGTCATATACATTATATCTAAACAATAAAAAAAACTTTATGTCCCAAAACAATGTTAAGGCCCGATTCTGCCGGACTATACTTCTGGTTGGGGACTTTAATAATGCTCTGGAATCGGTAGACGTCTCGAACAATAATAACTTTAAGTTGCGCCCCCCAGAAAAATTTTTAAAAATTTTATCTAGTGTAACAACCTCATAGATACCTTTAGAAATAAATATCCTAAAAAGCAGATCTTCACTTTCTATTTTCATTCCAATGGCAGAAGGATAGACCGAATATATAATTCAACCAATTTGGACAGCATCATTTCGACAATAGCACACGTACCCAATACCGTATCGGATCACCTATTTGTCCGGTAGTAACCCTGACACAAATGAAAAAAGTTAGATGGGGCAGGGGATCGTGGCGAAATAATGTCAAGCTATATCGTGATCCGACCTTTAATGACGTCATAAAAAACACCTACCAAGCCGCGACCTTTGGCCTATATAATTTTGATACCCTACAAGAATGGTGGGATGATGTAAAATCCAAAATTAAAAAACAGTCCATAGCATATTCAATAAATTTGGCCCGAAATAAAAGAAATGAAACCACATTAGTTCGAAAAACGCTCCTAGAACTAATAAACGAAGGAAAACAAGAAAATGCCGTGAAAATCGTTGAATTGAAAATGCGACTTAGGGCCGTTGAAGAAGAACAAAATGCGCGGGACACACTAATAGCAAAAATGAAAGATCTAGAAGAGGCGAAAAACCAACATCAACCTTCTATGAAAGAATAAGAAAAAGAGCAAAAAAGATACCATTGACAAATTAGAGACCGACAACCAAACTGTGGCAACCGATCAGGACGAGATTCTAACAACAGTCGAGAGCTTTTACACAAACCTATGGGGTGTGAGTGACATACAAGAGTCAGGCCAAGATCATTACATATCGATAATGAGCCGAACAAAAATAACAGATGAGGAGAACACCATTTTGGAGAGTCCTATAACAGAAGATGAGATTTACAATGCAATCAAATACATGCCCGACAATAAATCACCAGGTCTCGATGGCTTGACTAAGGAGTTCTACATTACATTTTGGAACATGATCAAAAAGAACTTCACCCTATTAATTAACAACATCTTTCATTTCGGCCAACTTCCAAATTCTGCAAAAACAGCCAAAGTTAAACTAATCTATAAAAAAGGCAAAGAAACTTTACTCAAAAATTGGCGACCGATAACTACATTAAACACCGACTACAAAATAATATCTAGAATTCTGGTGAAACGGCTTGAATCGATATTAAATAATGTTATCAGCAAAACGCAAAAATGCTCACTCCCCCTAAGGAGCATGGAAGATGTCCATTACAATACCGACGCAATTGCCAGGTATTGTAAAATGAACAATATACCCGGAACATTAATTTTAATAGATAATTTAAAAGCTTTTGACAGGGTCAATCATGGTTTTTTTTTAAAATATTGCACCAAATTGGAATAAGTAATAAGGCATTCAAAGTAATAAAAAGCATGTATACCGGAGTAAAAAGTAAGGTAGACGTAAATGGTAGGTTATCCAAAGCAATAGAAATCCGACGGGGAATTAGGCAAGGATGCCCGCTCAGCATGATGCTATACGCTTTAAGTACGGAACCATTCGCCAGATCGATAATTTTTAATAGTAACATACACGGGATAAAATTAGGAACTTTCGAACATAAACTTGACCAATATGCAGACGACACTACCTTTGCAGTTCGGGATAATACATCAATTAATGAAATCTTTAAGGAATTACATCGATTCGAAACGGCGACTGGACAGAAAACCAATATAGAAAAGACGCAAATACTCTGCCTGACAAGATCTTCTTACAAATCAACCTACAATTCGCCATACCAAACATATATAAAACCTAACACCAAAATACTAGGAATACACTTCGGAAACAAAGGAATGGATAAAATCTGGCAGGAACTGGAGAACAAAATAATTCGAACACTGAACTATGTAAAACTTCGCAATCTTACTTGGCATGGCAAACAAATTATTATAAACTCTCTAATAATGTCCATAGTAATATTTCATGTAAGAGTTAAGCCAATACCCCCCAAAACAGTAAATGAAATTCAAGGTGCCTGTTTTAAATTTTTATGGAGTCCCGCAAAGCATGCCTAGTAGAGAAAATGCGTGTACTTGCATTGGGCGGACCCCTAACCCTATTCTGGCATCAAGAGGCGCTATATGCCTTGGGCTCCAGGATCAGATTGGTAAACAGGGATCTGTATACGAATTCGATGCCCCATAGCCCCATAGCCCCACAGTCCCAAAACAATGGCAACACATCCTCGATACCTTTAAAAAATTGGACTTTACGAAAAATGATTGGGACTTAGCGAGACATAAAAATATCTACCATAAACTCAGGGCAATCGACACAAATCAACAACAACTGGATCTGAATTGGGAAGAAATTCACTTACTCACGAAAACATATCGAACCAAATTCACCAACACAGAAAGGGTTCTCTCGTACCGGATAGCCATAGATGGCTACATATTCGGAGACAGATACACAGCCATAGATGTCTACATATTACATCGACCCCAAGGAAGAAACAATTCTGGCCAAAACAATTAAAAACCTCACGGACTTCATTACTCTCATGGACCATAAATTCGGCAACACTCACTTCCTGGGAATAACTGAAAATTGGAAAAGAATTTTAAAAGGGTATCTATGAAATTGATAACTTTCTTCGTTTGAACAAAGTTAAAACTACGAACAAACTCAACTAACCATAAATGGTAGCCCAATAATAACGCCAAAACCCGCAGAAAAACACGATTTTAACCCCGATAATACCATCCACAACTTTCCACGGAAATGATGAATCGGAAGCTTCACGGTGGATGTCAGTCTGTGTGCGTGTTACACGTTCACACAGGTTGTACAGAAGCCAGAGGTGGCGGAAGTTGAGCTGTGCTAAGCATGGCATTGACGGAAGCCCTGGGCAGACGTCCTGCTATTTGGCACATAGCATGTACTGATGCCCGGGGCCGAAGTCTTTGCCTTGCAATGCATAGCGAATACGGAAGCCGCCTTATCTGTATAACCGCTGCTTACGCAGTGGCATGCTTATGAAGCGTAATACCGATATGACTCGGATATGACGTGTTTTTATTACACTGATCCGAGACTGGAAAAACTCTGATCCGTAAATAAAAAAAAAAATATTAATATTCCGTGGCGAAAAAAGTTTGGGAAGCGCTAGCTTAGGGTAGGGATGGTGGGAGGAAGCCGCCAGCAATCTTCTGGTGCTAAATTATCCCCTACTGGATTTGAACCTGCGAATCTAAGCGGGGTAATCTTAGGTTAGAAATCAAGCGTAGTATTAAGGCTTAGCACGATGCGCCACTCAACGCGAGCATAGTCCACTGCAGTGCACTGGCTGACATAGATACTAAACACATTAATATACGTCTATACCCTTACGCTGGATGACGAAATCTCAGGATTGTTCTGTTTGGCCGTACATACCTGTATCATGATCGCTTTTTACCAAGAGGTCTACTGTAGAGATAGACTCAAAGTGCTTCATACAGAACTAGAGTCTCCGCGAACTATTCGTTTACTCAAAATGACATTATTAAAATTTAAGAAGCAGCAAATACATCCGAGGTATTAAATAGAGTAATTTCAAATCACTCATTAATATTAATCGGTAAGTAACAATTTGTTTTTGTTACGTTCTCATTGTGGGGCTCCGTAAATACAGTCTCTTCACGAGCTCCATAACACCAAATATGTGAATCAATCGTTGTCGTCGGTATGCACTTGTCTTGAGAAGTCAATTACCGTATTTACTTCACATAGAACCGTGGTTAATGCTGTTGCTGATGTTATGTCTCTGTCGTTTGGTTTTGGCTGAGAAATTACCTTTACTGTAGGCCAGGACCGCACCTATATATTTATTTTGGATCATTAGCCCCAGTTATTGAATTTTCTATTATGAGATGACTTTCATGGTTTCGAATATATACGAAAAGAACTATAACACCATAATAAACAATTTTAATTTGCTACTAATCATTAGTCGGTGAAGGAAGTGCTCGTTTAAGGATGCCGAAAATCATTTCTGGAAAGACCTGACCCAAATAATTTTGAAGTTTTGTTTTCGGACCTTCGATAAAATAGTTGAGTAGCCCTGCAGTAGGCATCGAAACAACGTCACATTGTGACTCCACTTTTAAGGACATCGCCGGCACGTTATTGTATAAAAACATTCTTGGCTGCGAAAGTCAATGAGCTAAGATTTGTACGTCAATTTAGAGAATGCATTGATATAACGCTAAACACGTCGTTATTCTTCATCACGCGTTAGAAGCGTGATCGGTTCCAAAAGGCAACCTGGAGTAATTGAAGTAATCAGTTAAAGATTGATTACAACAATCAGTTAGCTTTTTTCGTCAAATATTGGTGCGCGGGAAGCCACAAGCGACATCGCAGTCACAAATGTTCGTCGTAGGATAAGGTTTGATTTTGTGTAGGATGTATGAATAAACTGACTGTTGGGTTATGACAGCGAGTTCGAAACAATATTCAGGTGAGCTAAATGTTCTTTAAACTTATAATTTTCATTGCTATTCTATTGCTTTCATTTTTCTATTGTATAAATGGTAAATTAGAGGTTTTCGGGCCTATACGAATTGGAATTATTACCCTAATACAGAAGTCTAGATTGGTGGGTGATTCTCTTTTGTATCGAACTCACTAACATCGGGTTCCATCGTTTTCTCACAACTGGTTGAACTTAAAAGCTATATGGCAATACATAGACTTATCATATTAAGAAACTTAAACGTAATATACTGATCTACGTCACTACGTAAGCTGCATTCAACAGGACAAGATTTACATGAATGTAATGCATAACTTTCAAAACTTTCGCAAATGTAGCGCAAAATTAATGGTTTATTGGAGATTTGCCGTAGCCTTTTCCCTTTCATATTTTATTGTGTATAGGGTGCTCCCAGAGTATTCGTACCAAGATGGCGCTCAACCTGAACACAGTATGTGTACCTGGTTAGGGTTCAGGTTGTGCGCCATCTTGGTACGAATACTACCGGATGATGGCCGTGTATAGATTGGATCTTTGTACAAAGACCCTATCAACGTTCAGAATAAGAGAATTAATAATTAAATTTATAAATCATTCCTAACCCCAAATCGATAATTACTAATATGTCATTTTAAAACGTAGCGGGAGCTTTGTGCAAAAGATCCGATAGATTCAGTCCCGCTGTTCATTGAATATGCTAGCTACAGTTCTGCGACAGTTTATTTACCAATATTTTACCTTTTTTTCAGATGCAAAACTATTAAAGGTTGTAGATACAAAAACACAAAGTAACGAACGAGGAATTTTACAAGTAAATATCATTTAAACATTTTATTTGACTTTCGACGCCTATTTTATTCCTGTACACAACTGTTTTCGTTTAGAATGCTAAACAATTAGATGCGAGCGCACTGCGTCTCGGGTCTTGCGATCAAAGTCGGCATTGCCACTTATTTGATCGTGTGTTTTCCCTCGATATTGTAAGATTTATATTTTCACAAGTTTTAATAATTGTCTTTCGAATCAAAATTTCAAAAAAGTAAGACCCACGTTCACGTTTAAAATGCTAAATAGTTCAATGCAAGCCAACATTGTTATGCTGCTTATTTGATCGAGTGCATTCTATCGAAATTTAAGATTTAGATTCTGTACAAATTCCAATAATTGTGTTTTAAAGCAGAAGTCCGAAATAGTACTATAAATATAGTACCTTCTACCTTGTATCAAATTGGTGTACTCTTTGCGCCCCCTAAAATTCGTTGCTCGCTTCTCTGCTGGATAGCGATCTCCAGTTTGCGATCGCCACCGTGAACAATGTGATAATTCTACAAGTTACTGATCAGAGGTAATTAGTCATATCATCCATGAAACAGTTATAAAAGTTCATTGGGTGTTTTATTTTTATTGTAATAATTAATAATAAGCAATTCGTGCAGTTTGAAAACTACACCTGATATGTTATAAAATATTAAGCTGAATTTATGAAATTGAATGATTACATATACCTGTAACTGTAGAGTCGATGAAAAGCAATTTCTATGGTAATCTATAATATTTGAAATTTAATGGCAATCGCTGAATAAATTTTATTCGTCTAAATTTTCTTAGTTTTGTGTATTGAAAAAAAAAATCGGAGAAAAGTTTGGCTTTTATGAAATCAAATGTCGAAATTTACCCGTTACGTATTTTATTGAAACTAACGTCTATTTTTTGCTTTGCAGTGTCTCTGTCAAATAGCATTTGTCTGAATTAACTACCTAATGACATAGTTGGCTCAACGAAATTTAGTTTAATTCTAATTTAGAATTGGCTTGCATAAAATCATGACATATATATTGATTTTCAGCTTTTTAAAACACTGCTTGAAAGTTGCCAGGACAATTTATCATTGTACCAAAAGAAATTCGTCAAATGCCAGCTTTTCATCACTGAGTGAGATGGAGGCCTATCAAGTCTGAAGAGCAAGTATGTAACCAAATCATTTGAAATTATTTAAACTTAGATGTCTATAGTATAAATAAATGATGTATTGTATTTTTTTCGGGAAATCTACATACAAATATTACTTTCAATATATTGAGTATAAGCTCAGTTTTGGTTTGTGTGTCAAATGAAATTTTCTAAAAATTACAACCTCAAAATTTCATCATAACATGATTCGCACAACTAACGTTTTATTCTGGCTGTTTATTAGAAATAAAAATTAAACTTTTCTGTTCCCGCCCAATAGTCGAGATACAGGAATGCATTAAATTGATCTTATTTTTGTCAGTTTGGGCACCAATGCGCGCTCATTATTGTTTATGGCAAAATCTGTTAAACCAAACCATGCTCATTTCGTAGAATAGCGGAATTAAATATTCTGTTCTACGATTAAACTGTAGCAATATCCGGTGAATAATGGCATAGTCAGTACAGCGCAGGGGCTGACTGCTGTGTTGTCCCATCTGCTGTGTCGTTTCGTTTAATCCTCCAAACCGAAAGGCCAATTACTATCTTGCAATGTCAGTCTATTTAAAGGTTATTGGGCCAGCATGAATAAAACGCGTTTCACCGCAATAGGGTGTCACGTTGTGATTACGACAAACAGTGAAATTTTTTCATAGTGATACTTTTAGTTCAGCACGTGTATATCTGCAGAGATACTGGAAGAATTTAAACTATGCCTCGTTAAGTGTAATTCGGTGAAAACACAACCCCAACTTAAAAACCATGCGAATATTAAAACTTATTGTTTAACCTGTTGTTTATCATAGGGTGCTCATATATACTAATATGTCTGACATGTTTGGAAACGTAGTCCTGGCCTTTTTCATTAATCTGATGAGCGCGTTTGCCACAAATGGTAGTTGACACTAACTACCATAACTATATAAAGTAATCAGGCTAATTTTTTAAATGGAATTGTAGCTCATTGTGACCTGTACGCTCTGGTAGTTCACAGTTGATATCCATGCCAATGATGTTCCCAACTAGTTCAAACTGGAATCGCCCCAAATTTAATTATAAGAGTGAGTCATACTATGTGAATTAAGATAGCCGTTAATCTTACACCTTAAAGAACTCGTGTTTCAACTAAAATTTCCAAAAACGATACTGTATGAATTATATTCAACCAAGTGTAAACTCCTTTTTGATTACTATCCCTTGCTGAAAGTCCTAAGTTATCACACCATCCATGTTCATAACTATTTAAAAATAGAGACATAGAAATATGTGTCATATTTTCCCTATTGTTAGTGCGGGTCACGTCATGTTATGCTTAATCATGTGCATTAGGAAGAGCTTATTTAATGTAAACTCTCCTATATAATTTCTACTGAAGGGTCTCTTTCATATACGGTACTCACCGTCAATATAAGATATAGTAGTTTCAAAACTCTAGAATTCTTACTTTTTAAATTAGATATTAGGAACTTGGGTGTCGCTGCTCGATAGCCAGCCTTGACTTGACTTGATTAATCGTGTATCTTACCCCCTTTGATACTAGTTAACCATGACATTCGTGTTCACATGTGTTTCGAACTAAACTCGCATTGAGTTTCAACGAGTATATTATTATATGAGTGAGTAGAATCAATGGCATCAATATGCATCAATATAACCGGGAATCGTACACCCTCTAATATTGGTTAACAATGGAATTTGTGTCCCAAACTAAAATTTCGAAAGTTACTATATATATATATGAGATCCCAACAATTGTAAATCTACTATAGTCAGCCTATATCCCTATTGCTAGTAGCCTTATGCTCATAAGTGTTTGAATCTGGGAATATATTCCTTATTTCTCTATCGTTTATTCCCTAGTTATGATCTGTCAAGTTTTTATATTTATATATATAATGTCTAAAATGTCTTTGGCTGAAGTTGTTTATAAATGTATATTTTCAGGTCTCTGGGATGGGAAGGAAAGACTATAGAGAACTTGAAGGTAAAATATAACACCCTAATAAATAATTCACTAGTTAAAATTTAGATAATGAGATACAACATAGCACACTGACAGATCATTCCGAATAAGTAATATTTATAATATTGAAAATCTGCAAATAATATAGAATGAACGTAAATGAATATCAATACAAGTTGTCGTCCTTGTATCTTTAGAATAAGCATAGCTTATCACAATAGCGTGGACAATTTTTTGAGGGGCGTAAAGGTAATTAGAAACAGAAATATTTGTTGAATTTTATCTTTTCCGCCTTATTTTTGATATTTACATTTCTTAATAGCTGTATTTTCAACGTGCTTTTCAATGAATATAAATAAAATTTATAGGATGTGTTGCAATATTATACACCATTCATTCCAAAGTAATGTTAGTAAATAAGGGGGAAATCTGAATAATTTGTCAATGAACGGAAAATTAATATTTTTATTTTATGTATCCAAAGTATAAGCATAGCTTCTCTGTGCTCCTGTCAAATTACATTTTCCGTAACTTATAAATCTAAAACTTAATAATGACTTAGTTCGAACAACTATATTTATTCAAATCAATATTATACAAAATTTACTTACAGTTCATTATCTCGCATAAAGTTCAGCTTTCTAAAACTCTTCTTGAAAGCGGAAGAGACAATTAACAATTATACATCAAAAGACATGCGGAGTTATTTGTCCGATTATGCATCACTGAGAGAGGTGGATGATTGAGTCTAAAGAGCAAGTATGTTATTAAAATCTTCTAAATCTTTCTAATTTACATTCATCACAAACAAGTTAGAATACTATATTATAAACATCGGTGAAGAAATAAATGATAAAGAGGTGAATCCGCAACCCAATTTCTTGATTGCGGCATTATAAAATATTAAAATTAAAATATAAAACGGAAGATATCACCATAAGTTTTGTTTTAGCAGTCTCGCAGCAGATTGAAAACGCTTTTTAGACATTGCAAATCACAAAATTTGGTGTTATGTTAGGATTTCTGTAAAATATATACCTTAATAGTAACTGAAATCGAAACACAGTAAATTGTTCACGCGATGTACCTTTTGTCTATTTTGAAACTAACTACCTATGGAGCCGCATACGACTTTTTCTCGGTATGTGGCGATATATAAAATAATTAATGCAAGATATCTATAGATCGATTTTTTTTTTCAATATTTTAAATTACAATCGTTCGTATTTTGTCCATATCTTGGGATATTTCAAACGGTGAAACCTTAAAAAGAGTCAGAATGACAGGCCTGCGGCGGGGCGGATTCAGTGTTGTTGCACTTGGCTTCATTGTTCTTCATTACAAGTCCGCTGATTGACGCGGTAATTTTGAGTTGTAATGATTTTATATTGTCGTAAGACGTAAGTCGTCGCAACTGCAGGTTTCATTGAACACAATTAAGCCAATAAATACCGCATTTTAAATATTGCCGCATTCAGGGGCGCAGCCAGGATTTTCCAATGGGGGTTACGATGAAATTAAAAGAAATGCGCCAAAAGTGCAATTCGCGACGACGTAATGCGTTATAAACTGAAATGTAAGGTCGTTCACAGCGAAATTCCACAGTTACGTTGCAGCCCGTCTCTTTGCCTGATGGTGTTGGTGAATATTTTACAAGTCGTATTTCAAACGTCGACTATTAATCCGTAGTCAGCGGGTACACGCATTTAGAAACAGAACATCAAAACTTCGGGAAAATCATTTTCAGAGAGAACTAAAACTCGCAGATGTCAGTAGTGTCATGATGGTTTATATGTACAAAAATACGCTCGCATGTAGCGCCGATCAAAAGCATGAAATTTGAAACTATTACTTGGAATTTATTGTTATGAAGTTGAACTTTTATTTCCATTCAATGATTATTTACTTACGCCGTGATCAGTGGCGGGCAAAATCGTATTTTTTAATCGAGTTAATCGAATATTTTTAACGGACACCGAATATATCAGTATTTTCATTTGAACGACAATCAATTGGGGATGTCGGCGCGCCGAACCACCGCCGTGACAATATTTTTTTTTCGGATTTTACTATAACAGTGCGGCGTTTTTTATTTCATAATTCTGTCGTAATCGAAGGCCTCAGTGAAATATTTGTCATCGCGATCGTTTTGGCGGCCGACATTCCAATTAATGTTGTTAGACTTTATTAAGCGCACTTTTTATTCACTAGTAAATATTATTTATCATGACGGATATCGTAGTTTTTGTATTTCGGACATGATTGTGAGTTCACATCGCAAAGGAGGGACACAACAGGCATCACAACACAAATAATTTTATTATGATTTCTATCTTCTGTGTGGATTCTATCACAGTTTAATTACCGGTCCCAATTTTAGGCGAACAATACCATCATATTGACCCCCGGGGTGCCGATATTTTTGAAGCGGATAGTTGGACATTTCTATGCGTTTAACTTTTAGATCGTGTCGGTGTTACTTTCGTGTTAAATAATAATTAAAGAAACTTCGCAAATTGGTAAATCACTACAATACTTACTGGTGAATGTTCACGTAACCTCAACTTTGTTAAAACCTTTTTATTGATACTAACCACATGAATAAATCGGCAATAATGGCATTTCTACCGTGGTCAAAATAATATTGTTTATGTATTTTTAATATAAGCTTACCTTTGCTTTACCTCTATTAATAAGCATTTTTTGTGATTTGTAACTCCAAAACTTGATAATGAAACTATATATTTATTTTCAGTTTTCTAAATCATTGCTTGAAAGAGTCATTGCATCAAACGGACATTGTTATTAGTCTGGTGCCTCACGGAGTGAGATGGAAGCCTATATAGTGTAAAGAGTAAAGAGCAAGTATGAAATCTTATAAATCTTTCAATTCATATTTTGTCACGTATAAACTGATATATCATGTTAAATCCCGCTAGTTAGGAAGAACTGCAAATATTAGAATTATCCTCACAAGATGTCCATAATATCCCACCCAATTTTATTTATATATTTTATATAAAGTCATATAATGCAATGGTTTCCACCCGCTAGTTCACGGAAGGTGTGCAGTTTTTAGCTGGTATGCAATAAATGTTTCTGCTTTGGTAATTTCGTATGCACAATTCCCGAAAAGACGCGGGTTATGTTTCTTTTCGGGCGTTCTCCCATCGTTCGACAAATATCGAAGTATGCGGCAGTCCGCCAGCAATGGGGTTATAATACTAGTAATGGGGCAATTGCGGCTGCATTAATACATATGGTCGGGCCTCATTTTATAGTATTTATTGTATTCGTACTTTATGGGTTTATTTCGTTGCCATGGCGTTTTGGTAGTTTTTCAATAGTCTAGAAGAGTATTTTTTAATCAGGTTCAATCGATTTTTTGTTTTTGTTGGGGTAACAGGGGTTCGACGAGGTTCCTTTAAATTAAAACAGTTTTCTATTATGGGAATTTCTATCACATCATCTACTAATTATGCAAATTTAACTACAGTCATTCTCAGGATATTTAAACTTACACGTTCAACAACTTATAAATTAGCGTTGCTGTTTGTATAGCGTTGCGCAGTTGTAAGTTTGTAAGTTTTAGTGAACCCGTCATCTCCACGAATGTCGCGCGCTTTGGTGTTTGTGCTTATATGATAGTGGCCTTTGATTCTTTCTGCTTATGACTTTGAAACATCTTCGATTGCTATGGCAAACCACGGATTTTTTGTTTTTGTTGGGGTAACAGGGGTTCGACGAGGTTCCTTTAAATTAAAACAGTTTTCTATTATGGGAATTTCTATCACATCATCTACTAATTATGCAAATTTAACTACAGTTCATCTCAGATATTTAAACTTACACGTTCAACAACTTATAAATTAGCGTTGCTGTTTGTTAGCGTTGCGCAGTTGTAAGTTTGTAAGTTTAGTGAACCCGTCATCTCCACGAATGTCGCGCGCTTTTGGTGTTTGTGCTTATATGATAGTGGCCTTTGATTCTTTCTGCTTATGACTTTGAAACATCTTCGATTGCTATGGCAAACCACAGATTTTCAACCTGAATCTTTTTATTTTCTATAATCTTGCACGAAATTATGTTTCCCCTATATAAAGTCTTAATTGGGCTCCTAATTTCAACCATCTGGTACAATGGGGTTTGGCGGGAGCTTTCAGAATACCGCCGGGTTTCGACAGGCTCGTTAAGGTTTAGAATTTGGAAAATCTACGGTGTATTATTTTTATTTGATGTTGCCAAATCGCTAGAGCAGACAGACAGGTACGAATAGATTTGTTTAAATTTATATACAATTCGTATCTAATTTATCAAATTACATTTTCGGTCATTCATAATCCCCAAACTTGACATAGTTCATATAGTTCACATAATGTCATAGTTCGAAAAATTATTGGTACATTCAAATTTTAATTAATTAATGCACAGAAATGATCCTGTGCATTCTATCGAAATTTAAGATTAAGATTCTGTACAAGGTTTAATAATTGTGTTTTAAAGCAGAAGTCCGAAATAGTACTATAAATATAGTACCTTGTATCAAATTGGTGTACTCTTTGCGCCCCCTAAAATTCGTTGCTCGCTTCTCTGCTGGATAGCGATCTCCAGTTTGCGATCGCCACCGCGAACAATGTGATAATTCTACAAGTTACTGTTCAGAGGTTTTTAGTCATATACTCCATGAAACAGTTATAAAAGTTCATTGGGTGTTTTACTTTTATTGTAATATTTGCAACTTGTGCAGTTTGAAAACTACAGCTGATATGTTATAAAATATTGAGCTGAATTTATGAAATTGAATGATTACATATACCTGTAATTGTAGAGTCGATGAAAAGCAATTTCTATGGTAATCTATAATATTTGAAATTTAATGGCAATCGCTGAATAAATTTTATTCGTATAAATTTTCTTAGTTTTGTGTATTTAAAAAAAAATCGGAGAAAAGTTTGACTTTTATGAAATCAAATGTCGAAATTCACCCGTTACGTATTTTATTGAAACTATCGTCTATATTTTGCTTTGCAGTGTCCCTGTCAAATAGCATTTGTCTGAATTAACTACCTAATGACATAGTTGGCTCAACGAAATTTAGTTTAATTCAAATTTAGAATTGGCTTGCACAAAATCATGACATATATATTTATTTTCAGCTTTTTAAAACACTGCTCGAAAGTTGACAGAACAATTTATCATTGTACCAAAAGAAATTCGTCAAGTGCCAGCTTTTCATCACTGAGTGAGATGGAGGCCTATCAAGTCTGAAGAGCAAGTATGTAACCAAATCATTTGAAATCTTTTCAATTTAGATGTCTGTAGTATAAATAAATGATATATTGTATTTTTTTCGGGAAATCTACATACAAATATTACTTTCAATATATTGAGTATAAGCTCAGTTTTGGTTTGTGTGTTAAATGAAATTTTCTAAAAATTTCAACCTCAAAATTTCATCATAACATGATTCGCACAACTACCGTTTTATTCTGGCTGTTGATTAGAAATAAAAATTAAACTTTTTTTGTTCCCGCCCAACAGTCGAGGTACAAGAATGAATTAAATTGATCTTATTTTTGTCAGTTTGGGCACTAATGCGCGCTCATAATTGTTTATGGCAAAATCTGTTAAACCAAACCATGCTCATTTCGTAGAATCGCGGAATTAAATATTCTGTCCTACGATTAAACTGTAGCAATATCCGGTGAATAATGGCATAGTCAGTAAAGCGCCGGGGCTGACTGCTGTGTTGTCCCATCTGCTGTGTCGTTTCGTTTAATCGTCCAAACCAAAAGGCCAATTACTATCTTGTAATGTCAGTCTATTTAAAGGTTATTAGGCCAGCATGAATAAAAGGCGTTTCACCGCAGGGTGTCACATTGTGATTACGACAAACAGTGAAATTTTTTCATAGTGATACTTTTAGTTCAGCACGTGTATATCTGCAGAGACACTGGAAGAATTTGAACTATGCCTCGTTAAGTGTAACTCGGTGAAAACACAACCCCAACTTAAAAACCATGCGAATATTAAAACTTATTGTTTAACTTGTTGTTTATCATAGGGTGCTCATATATACTAATATGTCTGACATGTTTGGAAACGTAGTCCTGGCCTTTTTCATTAATCTGATAAGCGTTTTTGCCACAAATGGTAGTTGACACCAACTACCATACTATATAAAGTAATCAGGCTAATTTTTTAAATGTAACTGTAGCTCATTGTGACCTGTACGCTCTGGTAGTTCACAGTTGATATTCATGCCAATGATGTTCCCAACTAGTTCAAACTGGAATCGCCCCAAATTTCCAATAATGATATTATAAGAGTGAGTCATACTATGTGAATTAAGATAGCCGTTAATCTTACACCTTAAAGAACTCGTGTTTCAACTAAAATTTCCAAAGACGATACTGTATGAATTATATTCAACCAAGTGTAAACTCCTTTTTGATTCTTATCCCCCTGCTAAAAGTCCTAAGTTATCATACAATCCATATTCATAACTATTTAAAAATAGAGACATAGAAATATGTGTCATATTTTCTCTATTGTTAGTGCGGGTCACGTCATGTTATGCTTAATCATGTGCATTAAGAAGAGCTTGATTAATGTATACTCTCCTATATAATTTCTACTGCATGGTCTCTGTCATATACGGCACTCACCGTCAATATAAGATATAGTTGTTTCAAAACTCTAGAATTATTACTTTTTAAATTAGATATTAGAAACTTCGGTGTCGCTGCTCGATAGCCAGCCTTGACTTGACTTGATTAATCGTGTATCTTACCCCCTTTGGTACTAGTTAACATGACATTCGTGTTCACATGTGTTTCGAACTAAACTCGCATTAAGTTTCCAATAACGAGTATATTATTATATGAGTGAGTAGAATCAAGTATATCAATATGCATCAATATAACCGGGAATTGTACACCGTTTAGTATTGGTTAACAATGGGATTTGTGTCCCAAACTAAAATTTCGAAGGTTACTATATATATATACATGAGATCCCACCAATTGTAAATCTACTATAGTCAGCCTTATGTCCATAAGTGTTTGAATCTGGGAATATATTCCTTATTTCTCTATCGTTTATTTCCTAGTTATGATCTGTCATGTTCTTATATTTATATATATAATGTCTAAAATGTCTTTGGCTGAAGTTATTTATAAATGTATATTTTCAGGACTCTGGGATGGGAAGGAAAGACTATAGAGAACTTGAAGGTAAAATATAACACACTAATAAATAATTCACTAGTTAAAATTTAGATAATGAGATACAACATAGCACACTGACAGATCATTCCGAATAAGTAATATTTATAATAGTGAAAATATGCAAATAATATAGATAATATAGAATGAACGTAAATGAATATCAGTACAAGTTGTCGTCCTTGTATCTTTAGAATAAGCATAGCTTATCACAATAGCGTGGACAATTTTTGAGGGGCGTAAAGGTAATTAGAAACAGAAATATTTGTTAAATTTTATCTTTTCCGCCTTATTTTTGATATTTACATTTCATAATAGCTGTATTTTCAACGTGCTTTTCAATGAATATAAATAAAATATGTGTTGCAATATTATACACCATTCATTCCAAAGTAATGTTAGTAAATAAGTGGGAAATCTGAATAATTTGTCAATGAACTGAAAATTAATATTTTTATTCTATGTATCCAAAGTATAAGCATAGCTTGTCTGTGCTCCTGTCAAATTATATTTTCCGTAACTTATAAATCAAAAACTCAATAATGACTTAGTTCGAACAACTATATTTATTCAAATCAATATTATACAAAATTTATTTACAGTTCATTATCTCGCATAAAGTTCAGCTTTCTGAAACTGTTCTTGAAAGCAGAAAAGACAATTTATCATTATACATCAAAAGACATGCGGAGTTATTTGTCCGATTATGCATCACTTAGAGAGGTTGATGCATTGAGTCTAAAGAGCATGTATGTTATTAAAATGCTTTGAATCTTTCTAATTTACATTCATCACAAACAAGTTAGAATACTATATTATAAAAATCGGTGAAGAAATAAATGATAAAGAGGTGAATCCGCAACCCAATTCCTGGACTGCGGCATTATAAAATATTAAAATTAAAATATAAAACGGAAGATATCACCATAAGTTTTGTTTTAGCAGTCTCGCAGCAGATTGAAAACGCTTTTTAGACATTGTAAATCACAAAATTTGGTTTTATGTTAGGATTTCTTTAAAATATATGCCATAATAGTAACTGAAATCGAAACACAGGAAATTGCGTACGCGATGTACCTTTTGACTATTTTGAAACCAACTACCTATGGAGCCGCATACGACTTTTTCTCGGTATGTGGCGATATATAAAATAATTAATGCAAGATATCTAGATCGATGTTTTTTGCAATAATTTAAATTGCAATCGTTCGTATTTTGTCCATATCTTGGAATATTTCAAACGATGAAACCTTAAAAAGAATCAGAGTGACAGGACTGCGGCGGGGCGGATTCAGTGTTGTTACACTTGGTTTCATTGTTCTTCATTACAAGTCCGCTGATTGACGCGGTAATTTTGAGTTGTAATGATTTTATATTGTCGTAAGACGTAAGTCGTCGCAACTGCAGGTTTCATTGAACACAATTAAGCCAATAAATACCGCATTTTAAATATTGCCGCATCCAGGATTTTCCAATGCGGGTTACGATGAAATTAAAAGAGTGCGCCAAAAGTGCAATTCACGACGACGTAATGCGTTTAATAAACTAAAATGTATGGTCGTTCACAGCGAAATTCCACAGTTACGTTGCAGCCCGTCTCTCTTTGCCTGATGGTGTTGGTGAATATTTTACAAGTCGTATTTCAAACGTCGACTATTAATCCGTAGTCAGCGGGTACCCGTATTTAGAAACAGAACATCAAAACTTCGGGAAAATTAATTTCAGAGAGAACTAAAACTCGCAGATGTCAGTAGTGTCATAATAGTTTATATGTACAAAAATACGCTCGCATGTAGCGCCGATCAAAAGCATGAAATTTGAAACTATTACTTGGAATTTATTGTTATGAAGTTGAACTTTTATTTCCATTCAATGATTATTTACTTACGCCGTGATCAGTGGCGGGCATAATCGTATTTTTTAATCGAGTTAATCGAATATTTTTAACGGACACCGGATAATCAGTATTGTCATCTTGAACGACATCAATTGGGATGTCGGCCGCTGAAACCACCGCCGTGACAATATTTTTTTTTTCGGATTTTACTAGAACAGTGCGGCGTTTTTTATTTCATAATTCTGTCGTAATCGAAGGCCTCCGTGAATTATTTGTCACCGCGATCGTTTTGGCGGCCGACATTCCAATTAATGTTGTTAGACTATATTAAAGCACTTTTTTATTCACTAGTAAATATTAATCATCACGGCGGATATCGTAGTTTTTATATTTCGGACATGAGAGGGACAACAAGTGCATTCACAACACAAATTAATTTTATTATGATTTCTATCTTCTGTGTAGGATTTTTATCACAATTTGTAAATTACGGTCCCAATTTTAGGCGAACAATACCATCATTATTGACCCCGGGGTGCGATATTTTTGAAGCGGATAGTTGGACATTTCTATGCGTTTAATTTTAGATCGTGTCGGTGTTACTTTCGTGTTAAATAATAATTAAAGAACTTCGCAAATTGGTAATCACTACAATACTTACTGTTGAATGTTCACGTAACTCAACTTTGTTAAAACACTTTTTTATTGATACTAACCACATGAATAAATCGGCAATAATGGCATTTCTACGTGGTCAAAATAATATTGTTTATGTATTTTCAATATAAGCTTACCTTTGCTTTACCTCTAATAAGCATTTTTTGTGATTAGTAAATCCAAAACTTGATAATGAAACTATATATTTATTTTCAGTTTTCTAAATCACTGCTTGAAAGAATCATTGCATCAAACGGACATTGTTATTAGTCTGGTGTCTCACGGAGTGAGATGGAAGCCTATATAGTGTAAAGAGTAAAGAGCAAGTATGAAATCTTATAAATCTTTCAATTCATATTTTGTCACGTATAAACTGATATATCATGTTAAATCCCGCTAGTCAGGAAGAACTGCAAATATTTGAATTATCCTCACAAGATGTCCATAATATTCCGCCCAATTTTATTTATATAATTTCGTAAATTCATATAATGCAATGGTTTCCACCCGCTAGTTCACGGAAGGTGTGCAGTTTTTAGCTGGTATGCAATAAATGTTTTTGCTTTGTTAATTTCGTATGCACAATTCCCGAAAAGACGCGGGTTATGTTTCTTTTCGGGCGTTCTCCCATCGTTTGACAAATATTGAAGTATGCGGCAGTCCGCCAGCAATTGGGTTATAATACTAGTAATGGGGCAATTGCGGCTGCATTAATACAATTGGTCGGGCCTCATTTTATAGTATTTATTGTATTCGTACTTTATGGGTTTATTTCGTTGCCATAGCGTTTTGTTAGTTTTTCAATAGTCTAGAAGAGTAGTTTTTAACCAGGGTTCAATCGACTTTTTGTTTTTTGTTGGGGTAACAGGGGTTCGACGAGGTTCCTTTAAATTAAAACAGTTTTCTATTATGGGAATTTCTATCACATCGTCTACTAATTATGCAAATTTAACTACAGTTCATCTCAGATATTTAAACTTACACGTTCAACAACTTATAAATTAGCGTTGCTGTTTGTATAGCGTTGCGCAGTTGTAAGTTTGTAAGTTTTAGTGAACCCGTCATCTCCACGGATTGTCGCGCGCTTTGGTGTTTGTGCTTATATGATAGTGGCCTTTGATTCTTTCTGCTTATGACTTTGAAACATATTCGATTGCTATGGCAAACCACGGATTTTCAACCTGAATCTTTTCATTTTCTATGCCCCTGCACGAAATTATGCTTCCCCTTTATAAAGTCTCAATTGGGCTCCTAATTCCAACCATCTGGTACAATGGGGTTTGGCGCGAGCTTTCAGAATACCGCAGGGGTTCCACAGGCTCGTTAGGGTTTATAATTTGGAAAATCTACGGTGTATTATTTCATTTGATGTTGCCATATCGCTAGAGCAGACAGACAGGTACGAATAGATTTGTTTAAATATATATCCAATTCATATATAATTTATCAAATTACGTTTTCGGTCATTCATAAACCCAAAACTTGACATAGTTCATATAGTTCACATAATTTCATAGTTCGAAAAATTATTGGTACATTCAAATTTTAACCCCCAAGCCGAAATTAGATCGAAATAATTAAATATTTTTCTGAAATCAATCAATTTTAGTAAAATCTTCGAATACCACATTGTGCCACCGCAAGTTTTGTTGAATTAAGTTTTTGGACACGTCAGTGTACATAACGATCGTTTCAATATTATGTTGTTGTTCTTGTTAGTATTCTTCTCTTTCGTCATGATGAAACCGCTTTTCTTTTCAAATACTGGACCAATTGCTTTGAAATTTTCAGTGTTTAAAGATTGATTTTTTAGTCAGAATGGCTATTACTATTACTTATTTCAAAAATTTCTGTGGACCTCGAAGATTCGCGTTTTTTATGTGTCAGAATGAAAAATAGCGACACCATGTTACGTGTCCATATATTTGAGCACAGCTCTCTTGTTTATATTAGTCCTCGATTAAATGGAATATTCAAATATTTCCCCGCTAGATCGGAAAAGTTCGGAATAATTCAATATTTAAAAAAAAAACTATAGTGCAATATACCAATTATCTAAGTATATTATCACAGTTGTGAATGTTTCTTTGAAAAATTAGAGATTTGATTTGAAGTTAATGCTTCCATTGAATTGAATTTGAATCCGTCTTTAACTTGAAGCTTTAAAATAACAAATTGTGGTTGTCCAGCTTGGGTTAGGTTTCGGTTAGGAGAAATTAAAAAATTGAAATCTGCATTCGGGGGTGTTTTTTGAAATAAATGCTTTTGTTGAATTGAATTTAAATCTGTCGTTAATTTAAATGCCCAACCCAGATTTGTGTTTGGTAAATTTTTATTTAAATACAAAAAAATCTGATAAATAATAATTTATTTCTAAGTCATTCTCGCGTGAATGTCTTAGCCGTACAAAAATACATTTGTGAATGCTAAATGATGTGAATTGTTTTTTACTTTGAGTAAAACAGTAAAGATGCAAAGTGAGAATGTTAAGCTAAATAGTGGAGAAATGAAAAAAAAAACGTATTAACAAAAAAGCGCTAGATGTTTCCACGAATTTAAGAAAGAAATGAAATGGTCATTTCTAATTATCCGATGAAGCGTAATAAATTGGTAGATTCGAAAGCACGCAACATGAGGACTTTTTATTAAATTTTCAGAATTTTCTGATTTCGTCGCAACGACACTGATCAGTTTGTTCTTCATTAGGGATTGCGAATACTTTAGAATAGTTCTGTTTTATTAGCCGAATTGTTATTTATCCGACGCTGACACTGAATATTCATAGTTTCTAATATGTGTGTTGAAATGGTTTATTTTTGAACGAAAATTTAAAATGTTTCAAGCAAGCTGACAAGCTAGAAAAATTTTAGTTACACTGCACGCATGCCAGGTCATATTTATTAATCCCTCGCTCAATCGTATGTTTTTCTTTTTTAGCTGATCCTCTGCTAATAAGTGCTAATACAATACAATGCAGCAATAATCGCGAAAGTCGTTCAGGTTCATTCGTGGGCCGTTTTTCCGGAGTTCCTAACATTTCAAATTTATTTCACATTTTGTTTTGTCCCTGTACAACACATTTCCTATAGTTTATGATTGTTATCAAATTGCTGTGTTTGATTATTGCTCGATCTGTTTATCCTCGGTTTGTGCGCTCGATATTCCAACGGTTGTTGTTCTGACTCCTTTTCAGAAGGTGCAGTCTGGCTGTCGGGTATTCAATGTAGTAAATAAAAAGATTTCTTGTGATTGGTTGCTAACCTGTTGTAGGCTGCACTGTTGTGTATTTGACGCTTACACTGGATATTCATATTTTCCAGCGCATAGAAAACAGTCCCAAACAGGCTGACAAGGCAGAAAATATCCAATTTACATTGCACACATGCCGAGTCATATTATTTAAGCCTTTGCTTAATCGTTTGTTCTTCTATTTTAGCTGATCCTCTGCTATTGAGTGGACATTTATAAACTCCTTTTTCCCCTTAATTTGCTAAAAAGATGGAGAGTGTTAGAATATTTTAGGATAAAACACGTCCAACTAACTGTTAACTGAAGGCGCGTGTTGGATGTAATTGTGACAAAATCATATCAGTTTGAGCTTTTGAAAAAATAAAAATGCGAATTCTACCGGCTTTCATGTAGGTACATCATAAAACTCCTATTTGTAGTGCGATTGTTTTAAAATCATATTCTAAAATATGTTAACGTGACTATAAATATTAAAGAAAACAAATCTCCCAAATCAAATAAACCCTCTTTGGGTTTAGTACAAAATATAGAACGCCGTTAACATTATAAAGAGGAAAATATGGGATACCTGTAAAGAAGAAAAATGTCTGTTCATTACATACTTCTACGAACATTTGTTTCTGTAGTTCTTTGCGTTTCATACTTTTTCATTTTTTATGTTGTCAAGACTTTATATGATAGTTTTTGATTTTACAGTTTTTTGCTCTTGGTTTAAAAAAGAACATAATATTATAGTGTGAATTTTTACACGCATTTTCTACTTGTTCTACTTGTTTCTACTACACGTCCAAATTTTAACTGAGGACAGCTAAACTAACCCAATATGATATGTTCATTTTGCAATAATATTGTCTGCCTTGAATAGTGATTTTTTAACAAATGTTCATATTACTATTGTGTATTATTTACTAGTTTTATTTTATCATTCGCTTTGGAATGCTTGAAATGAGTGTTTTACCTTCTTCTTAAATATAAAAGACCTTCGGTAAAAGGTATCGGGTATCGGTAATATCGACAATATTTTGGTATCGGTATTCGTATCGATATCGGCTAAATGTAGACTGATATTTTCAAAATAATTAACTTTTAATCTATTCCTGAATGTTTTGAAAAGTAGATTAAAATACTGATATAAAAATTATTTTTTGCTCTGAGTGATCGTGTTCGCGGTATTAGCCTCGTTAGGTAGGAGCAATGATGTTTCCCAACCGCGCGAATAGAAACGAGAATATGATTATGAACTGATTTTAGCCATTTATCAGCCCAACTATCTCAACTAATTTGGCTATTTTTGCAACCCAATTTTTTATATTGACATTTTTAACATTGCATGGAAACTATGAAGAAATATATCGAATGTGAATTTTTTGATGTGCAAAATACAAAATATTACCTTGGCATGGCCTAAAATTCTGCGCAGAACTCGATTTATCAGTTGGATAGATTGAGTGAACATTTATTTATTTTACCACCTACAGTAGCCAAACCCGATGAGTTTTCTAACCTAACACCGATATAATTAACATCAGTGTACAATGTATTTAAATCAAAAAACGTATCAGGATCCAAAACATTAGTTTTTTTTTTTCTGAAATATGGCTTTTTCAAATCTGAAAAATTATGTGGCATGAATAATGCTTGCAAACTGTTACTTTAACTTGTTTGGACTGAACACCTGAGATGATGATTACATAGCATGTAAATGTCGGCAATTTCTGCTTTAAAATATTAATATCGTCGTTTTATCGTTGTTGTCGGATTGGTATCGGCGACAAAAGGTATCGGTACAGTTGGAATCTCTAGTATAATGTAATGGACGTTAATGTAATGTTTAAAATAGATATCTACGTCATGCGTTATTGTATCAAATAATATGAGGTAAAACAATGTATTCTATTACTGCAAACCTTAAAAACTCGTATGATATCAAATACCATCTTTGTTAAGCCATCCCAAGCATGTAATAGTATGTTACACATACTACTACCAAGATTTATTTCCTCAGCAACAGACAAAGTTTAATTGTTTTCTTCCGTATATATATTTGACCCGGGGTTATTTCGAAAGTTATCGGGCATTGTACTTTCGGTGAATGACCGCTCATAGACTTTTCTCTTTAACACTTTCGATGCCAAGATCAGTTTTTTCAATTTTACCGTTCCGTGCAGAGGTGAAAACGAGAGAGTTCTCTCCTATTCATTTTCTCTCGTATTTAGTTTTTGATTCATCGGGAAAGGGGCGAACCCAGCGGTGTCATCAGTTATCGTTCATTCCGACACTTCAGTCGTAGGTGAAAGAACTCACCTACACACGCGTATCTTGTCGGAATTGCTCTCTCATGCTATTATAACATAAGTTGATGATAACTTGTCTTGATCTGTCATTGCGATAAAGATTCAATTCGAACATTTTATTCAGCAATCAGAATCATTTTATTATACGAAAATATCAAATTTGAACCAAGAAAACAAAATCGTTTACTAGCATAAAAATAGATCCTTCATTCGCTATATATTCCAATAACATTAATAATGGCCAATTATTGTCACTCACAAGGATAACATATTGCAAAATAAACAAAGTAGTCACATTGCATATTCATACAACTGTAACTGTAGCAAAGTTAAAATCCAGGTGCGTTGGCGCCAATCGGACTCCGCACATATTTTTTATATTTCTATTTGCGATTCATCGGCCAAGCTAGATATGTTGATTGATAGTTTAGTGCATGGTAGACGCTAACTTCACCAAACCATAATTCGAATGAGGCAACATATTGACTACGTCTGTGATTCCATAGCGTTTTTGACAAATTCCTCGATTGATGTATTATTTTATGCACCACCCTACTGCACATTAATTTTTTATAATGAATTCCGATATGGAAGCTCGATAATAAATTTACTATGTTCGTATGTTTCAAGTACATATGTGTTACAGTTGTATGAATATGCAATGTGACTACTTTGTTTATTTTGCAATATGTTATCCTTGTGAGTGACAATAATTGGCCATTATTAATGTTATTGGAATATATAGCGAATGAAGGATATATTTTTATGCTAGTAAACGATTTTGTTTTCTTTGTTCGAATTTGATATTTTCGTATAATAAAATGATTCTGATTGCTGAATAAAATGTTCGAATTGAATCTTTATCGCAATGAGAGATCAAGACAAGTTATCTCCAACTTATGTTATAATAGCATGAGAGAGCAATTCCGACAAGATACGCATGTGTAGGTGAGTTTTTTCACCTACGACTGATGTGTCAAATAATACCGAAACATGCGTAATACATTTCAGGTGCGTTTGTATCTTAGTATTGCTCCTGAGTTTTCGTCGGGCGCTTCCAGATTTGGTGGGTTCAGTCAGTAAACGATGAAATTCGAAGTCTTTACTTGCCTCGGCAAACATTTCATTCAATCTGGTATTTATAGCGAGCAAATACTTATTTGTGTGGATATTTGAACTAATATTGGCGTGCAAATGAAGTATTTCCAAATGCAATTTCAATATTCATTATACGCATCCGGTGTCTCTAAGTTGACATAATAAAAAGGTTTAAAGCTTCAACGAAATTCGTCAGTTGATCTGTCAAGAACACGATTTTCCGAAATTGTCATCTCACGCAATTTGCTACGCAAGTCTTCTCGACTGCACGTAGTCCCGTCTTCGTGGCGCCAGACACGTGATCGCTATTGCGTAGCTACGTAATCAGTACGCCATGGCTGCTTATTGAACTTGTTCATCCGACACAAAGTCGTAGGATTGCATATTTTGCTATAATTATGGTTATACAATAGCTACGGAAGTAATTCAATATGAGCTGAAAGCATACGAGGGGCTCTGTGTTATTGGTAATATATTTCCCACTAAATTACTATATCATGGATCATATCTCACTGACAAGGAGAAAAATATATGTTCCGAATAATATCAATTTCTCACTTTATTATTTCAAAATGTAAATTTCACCTCTCAGGACGATAAAATTTGCTTTCGTTGCAGATGTCCGTCAATCCGTTACCCAAAAATGATAAAAAATTAAAAAAACGTTCAAAAATACCAACATTTTGAATCATTTCATCGTCCTGCCAATAAGACGACGATCATGCATATAAAAATATTCGAATTATTTCCCGGTTTAGTAATGTTTTTCTACATCTTCGTAACATGATTGATAATATTATCATCTCTCCTCACACCTTTCAATCATTTCACCGTAAAAAGTTGAAACCGTGTGTTGGCGTCAGTCGGTCTCGTACAAATTTTTGATGATAATTTGCGGCTAATATGTACCTCGGCCATGCTAAATAAGTTGATAATTTACTTCATGGCAGACCCTCCTTCCATCTTGGTATTTCTTGAATGACGCGATTGGCTGACGACGTCATTATTTCCCCCCAACTTGACAACAAGAGAGAGAGAGAAGAAAAAAGACGGCAAATACCTGAACTCGACCTTCTTCTATCTATTAAACTTTTTACTTTTCGAATGACGTATATATAAGTCATTTTGCATTGATGGCACGGAACGGTTGGCGCCAAATGACGTATATATACGTCCTTGGCATCGAAAGTGTTAGGGCAATTTATCTTCTGTTCGTGGGGAAAAAAGAGGCGTGTTGACTTCAACCAAATCTTGTATCGGTCTTGTGTCTTCATATTCCTGTTTGTTTATAGTTATTTCGGATCATTACAGGTCGGCTATTTAAAAGTTAATTCACATTAGAAGTTTGTCGTTCAAGTAGTGTTAATTTTACTGCTGTAATAATCGAGTTGTTTGCTTGTTTTAT